CTTGACAGCACCACAGCCGAACGAACCATCTCATTCAGATTGCGCTTGCCATAGTCACCAGCAGCAAGCCACTCGACTCGACTCGACTCGACTCGACTGGCGATTGCAAACCCTTGATCTCTTGGCTCTTTGCTCGGCTCGGCTCGGCTCGGCCAAATTCGGCCATTCGGTCTTAAACATCCGCACCGCAGACTCTGCGTCATCTCGCCTTGCTCAGCTCATCCAGCACTTTACCCCACCTTGACTCGTGACTCCCCCTTCCAACTTCGAGCGGCGGAGCGCAACAAAAGACGATCGGTTCTAAATCTTACGATTACCAGCAGCAGCGACGAATCCTGATTTCAGCGCGAGTTGATCTCCTTCTCCACCAGACTGCCCCATCTTGAGCTTTCAACACCACCATCATCGTCATCGTCGTCTTTGCATCACCACTCACCAGGACTAGACGTACGGAACACACCTCTTTCTTCCTCTTCGCGTGGCAATATATTGACGTAATTGGACAATACCGTCACATCTTACCTCCGGGCTATCGGCTTCACGATCGTCTGCGCGGACTCTTACCCAGGGCCACGAGTGCTGGACAAACCGCGTGCCGTCGGGTGAAGGGCTGCTGGACTGCAGCTTACCTCGGCGCAGCAATCCTTTCATCGTCTGCGCCGGCGTCCCGTCCCACACGGCACCAATCGCCGCACGCCCCGGAATCGCAGTCTTCTTTCTTCTGGCCTTCCCCCTCCCACCACCAACACCTCGACCATGCGTCTCACGCTCGCGTGGGCCAGTTGTCTCGTTGCTATCGCCGTCACTACCTCATCGACGAAGGGTGAGTTCGCGCCATGGTCGGGCCGCGTTCTGAGTGGCAAACGGGCGTTCATCCTTTGACATCATGCTCCTGCCCACCATACTCCCCCAGCTTCATCGCAGCAGCCTCTACCTCTGCATCGCTTCTCTTACGCCTCCGACGTCAGCCTCCAAGTCGTACGCGCTGCAGAATCTAGCACGCACCACAGCGACAAACGGCATAGCGGTGCGAGGGCAGGAGGAAGCTCAGGTGTTGTTCACGATGCGCAAAGCTTTGCGCGTCGATCCAACCCCAACGCCATCCTCGCGTCGGACACGCTTCGTCTGACACTCAGAGCCTTCGACCAGCTCTTTCACCTTCATCTCGAACCCAACGAAGAGATTGTTCACCCCGATGGTGCCACTGTCCGCTATCATCAGCCGGATGGTAGTGTAAAGGAAGAACGCATTTTGCGCGGAGAGACCAGGGCTTACCATGGAGAGGTAGTGCATGCCATGTGGTCTAGAGATAGAATGGCAGAGGATCGCGCTGGGGTGAGGAGAGATGTTGGGTCCCCATCATGGACCGAGCAGGGTGTCGTGGGTCGCGCAGCTGTGTAAGTCCACACACACGATATTCCATTGAGCTGCTTGATGCGTGGCTGACCTGAGCACCTCGATGCAGTGTGGTTCACGACGATGGTTCCGAGTCTGGTTCTCCTTCCTTTGAAGGCACCTTCACCTGGGACGGCAACATCCACACCATCAAGCAGGCGAGGACTTTTGCCGCTCAGAGATCTGTCTACGATCCCCCCGTCGACAAGCGGTCTTTCGATGAGAACAGAATTCTGGTGCACCGACAGAGCGACATGATGCTCCCTCACGAAGCACGTTCGCTCGGTATTCGGCATGTCGAGGTAGCAGACGCAGGATGCTCGAGCGACTCGCACGAATATAACCTCAACAACCGTCTCATCTTGACCGACTCGAACAATGACGAGTTCAGCGCGTCCCCTCTTAGCTTTTTCGCTTCACCCGACGGCTTGACTTCTCTTGCTGCGAGGCACGGCGACGCGGAGGGATCTTCGCTCTACAAACGCGCGACAAATGTCGCAGCTTCTATACTCGACCGCACTCTTCGGAGAGACTCCGAGCACCTTGTAGGTCTCGAGAACCTGCACGGACGATTCGACTACCACGACCCTCTCATCAGAAGGCAAGGTGGCGATGCTCTCACGGGCAACGGTGGAACGAACGACTCGTACACCGGCTCCATTGGCTCCACGGCGGGATGTCCGAGCACGAATCAAGTCGTATACATGGGCATCGCTGCTGACTGCAACTATGCAGGTCAATTCAGCGATCAGAACGAGGTGCGAAGAAACTTGCTGAACCTCATGAACGAGGTCAGCAACTTGTACCGAAGCACCTTTCGAGTATCGCTAGGTGTGGTTCAGCTTGAAGTACGGTCGTCTGCTTGTCCCACTACTGCGCAGTCCAACGCGCAATGGAACGTTGGGTGCACTGATGGAGGTCCAAGTCTTGACCAGCGGCTCTCCGCCTTTTCGCAATGGGCCGGTCAGAACAACAATGGAACTGGACTATGGCACATGTTGACTACCTGCCGTAGCGGCAGCGAAGTAGGCGTGGCATGGTTGGGAACGCTGTGTCAGACGCGAGCCAGTCCAAGCGGCAATGGAGATGTGGTCAATGGTGCTGGAGTGACGGCGTCGACTACGCAAGTCAGTCAAGTTGTGGCGCACGAGATTGGGCACAATTTCGGCGCGGTGCACGATTGCAGTTCAGGATGCTCCATCTCTGGCGGAATGGCGCGACAGTCCAGCGGCGCTTCTTGCTGCCCCGCATCGACTGGTAGCTGCAACGACAATAGCCAGCATATCATGAGCCCCGTCTCTCGATCGGACACCTTTACCTTTTCACCGTGCACCATCGGCAATATCTGTACCCTGCTGAGTCGAGGCCTCAACACGGAATGCGTTGTGGAGCCTGGCTCCCGACAGACGCTCAGCGAACAGCAGTGCGGCAATGGCATCTTGGAGCTGGATGCTGGCGAAGAGTGCGATGCGGGACCGAACGGTAGCGCATGCTGCACAGCCGACTGCAAATTGACCTCGGGATCCGTTTGCGATCCGGAAGGATCTGCTTGCTGCACGGACCAGTGTCAGTTCGCATCTGCTGGTACCGTTTGTCGACCGTCGGTCGACGACCGATGCGATTCGGCCGAGACTTGCTCGGGAACGAGCGATGAGTGCCCGGCTGATCAGCGCGAGAGCGACGGGCAGGGCTGTGGCGATGGGCTCAGCTGCGCTTCTGGTCATTGCACCAGCCGGGATCAGCAGTGCCAACAACAAGGAACAGATCTGGGCCTTACGAGGGCCTGCTCTGCCACAGCGTCCAACAGCTGCTCGGTGAGCTGTCAAAGCCCGAACAGGTCCAACACATGCGTCATTCTCTCTTCCAACTTTATCGACGGTACGAGCTGCGGATATGGAGGAAGGTGCGAAAATGGAGAGTGCAGGAGCGGATCGAGCACGGATACGTTGGGCGCTTACTTTAGGGAACAGCCGCAGATTGCCATTCCCGTGACCATTGTGGTGGGCATCATTGTGCTGCTGGTGCTGTGGGCGCTATTGAGGTGCATCGTAGGCGCATGCACGAGAAGAAGGAGAGCATCGAGCAGCAATTGGAACAAGCGATCCTCCTCCTCCACTATGCCTATGAGATTTGGAGGAAGTAGGGCAAGCGGCGCACCTGTTGGACCTCCACCTAGACATCCTCAGGCTAGGTACTCCAACTCTCCGCATAGCACCGCTGCGGAGTCGCAAGCGTACCCCGCTTATCCTTCTTACGACGCGCCTGCCGGTCCTCCTCCTCCACCGCCTCAACCTGCTTGGACGAATGGCAGGTGGAGAAATTGAGAGCAGTCTTGTATGCATTCGGTCGGCTTTTGGCGATGCGATGGGGGAAAAGCACAACATCAAGGACAGTCTTCTCGTGTCGACTTTTGGAAGCCAATCAATCAAGCTGTACATGATTTTCATCCCTTTTGCAAGCAAGCAACAGTTCTTTTTCCCCGTAGTCTCTTTTGACATCTTTCCCATCCATGTCTTGTCCTTTGACGACTCCTTGTACATACACTTTTTGCACATAGGAACTTGTTGCCTTCATTCGTACAGCTGCTTTGTTGCTCGGGATGCTGATGCTGTGAAAGCGTGATGAGAGGAGCGAGAAAGCTTTGCCTCTGCTCTGCCTGTGCAGCCCGCTCTTTCCCGTCAGAATCTGGTGTCACGTGGTCTGTGCTGATGGAATGGCTCTGCACGCGAGAAGAAGAAGCAACGTGCAGCAGCATGCGGCTAAGAAGAGCCTCGCGATCAATCTTGAATGTCCCCACAATCACCCCCCTCACATCACACCACGCGAGCATACATGGCCCCCGCAGCACTTGTAGAGACAATCACAGTTCATTCGAACAATTGCTACTGAACAGCCAGCAGCAGCAGCAGCAGCAGCAGC